AACGTGGCCAAGTACATGGATTACATAAGGAAGTAAATCCAACTATCCAACATGGAAATGAGAAAGATATAAGCTGGATAAAACAATGGTATTAACCATTAGTGTCTTGGAAAGATCCTCGGACTAGAACATAAGATTCTGGACGTCCACAAGTTATCAAGGAATGATACATTGCTAGCAAAACTAAATGGAAGACACATAGACCCAGAAATGAATGACTATGTCATACCAGCTTATGCACCACGAATTTAATGTCCTAGTAGAGACATAATCAAGTTGCTAAAGTCTATAAAGGTAGACCAATAAGTTCCAAAGGAAAGAAATCTCGGAAAGGAAATGAAAGGTGCATTTCATTATGGAATCCGAGTTCAAAGGAAACTAACCAGACATAAAGGGAAAACCTGGCCAGGTGAACATCTAGGGTACCGGACCATGTAAGCTTGGGACGCCAAGATTACAAGGCAGGAAAGGTACTGGATAAGTAAGATCTAAAATGGTTTAGATCATGTCTGAGTGAAATGGAACCATATATATATATATAAGAGTGTTAACACCAGTGATATGAGAAGACTTATATAAGCAAATAGCACTTGAGATTTATGGAAATGGAAATGAGGATCATGAACCCATGAAAGAGTACTCATAGATCATAATCATAGATCATGGGGTTCAGAGTATATAAAAGAATGATGTGTGTATTGGCCATATTGGAACACCATCAACCAGTGATATGTAGGTCTTGTGGGTATATGAATCCCTGAGGAAAAGGTTAAAATGAACTCAGGGTATTCATGTTCTTACAAGAGACATAGGAACATATTATTAGGAGATAAACTCCTAAGTGGTGGATGCTACTAGTCAAATTCGAAATTGACAAATGTCTGGTCATAAGTTGACATGTTATGAGGTAGTAAGTAGCATATGGTTCACTGGATTAATGGTTAAAGGAAAACCATGAAAATGAGAAAAGGAATTCTCAAGAACAGCATTGTTCCTAAGCTGTTCATAGACTGATATTATGCAGCTGCAAGTAATATGGTATACTAAGAAATACTTAGTACAATCAGTCCATGTGTATTATATAAAAGGTGTATAGTAAACTAATCCATAGAAAGGATGGATGGTTCAATGATTAAATCATTGTCATATGTGTTGAAATCAGCACTACCAAACTTCATAAGAAATGGGCGTATGGAAAGGCTAAGGGAGCCGTATGGTCCATACCAAAGTTCATACCGACCAAGGCTAAGGTCCGGTTACATTCTAAGTCCAAATCATCCATGGTGTGATGACCAATATGTTGGTTCAAAACGTGGTTATGATCTAGAGGTACTAAGCTATCAAGGTGCATAGTTTAAAGGTCTTAAGGAACCAATGTAGTATAAACTGTACCTATACATCACCACACATAAGCCATGTTGCTATGGCAACATTAACCACTCATTGGCGAGTTGTTGACATGTGTGGGTAAGGTCCATGACCATAATGTACTTTGGTACGTTGCTTAATATAAGAAGGTCATGGGACACCATCAAAGGAAGTATGGTATGTGATGTTTAAGTACAAAGGTTATAGTGTGGGACTTGAATGAAGGCACGACCATTAAGCTTTGTATTAATGGATTAAAGAAAAATATAAGAGTCCAAAAGAGTAACCAAAAGTAGGCATGGTTAAGTCCTAATGGATATGGTATTGCTAAAGGCAAGGAAGGTCGATAAGTCATGTATAAAGGTCCATGAGCATTTGCTGCAGATCCATGGTTGGATGTGATCATAATATTCATTGCAGCAACTGGTGAGGTAACTCATAAGGTTATGGACGTGATAGTTAAGGTCTATTACCCAACATGAACTTACCCAAAGGATAGGAAAGGATATCGACCATAATGGACAAGACCATTAGCACATACATTTGGTGTATGACCAAATGGACTAGGCGTGTCCATGAGAACCTAAGGTTGGTTCATATATGTTTTGGTCTATGACTCTATATAGTATGTCCACGAAATGGCTAGGCCATATGATCAGTGGATCCGTGGGACATAAAAGGACATTAGATGGGCCTGCAAACAATGGTTGTATGCAGATCATTAGTCCATCCAAGTACTGGTCAAGTACCATCCGACCAGGAGACCAGTCCGACAAGGAAATCAGTCCAACCAGGACATAGAATGGTCAGTTGCATGAGAGGCACGACATGACCATGTTTAATGGAGTTCCAGAAGACATTAAGAGACACTAGAAGTTCCAAGATGATCACACGTCAGTGGTGTATTCATCAGGGGGAGTTTCATGTGTTGTACTCTTTTGTCCTGTCCTTGGTTTTCCCTTTTTACCACATTGGGTTTTGGGTTTTACCAGGAGAGGTTTTAATGAGGCAACATCCAAAGCATGAAATGAACTTTGNATCCACACGTCCAGTCCCTTGTATTTATCCATATGTTGTAGTTATCCTAATCATTATAGGATTAGGATAATCATCCCCTTTATTTGTAGCAATCCTTATCTCCTAAGGAATATGCTTTATTCTCTTGTATGTATATATATATGTGTAACCACGTGATTAATAATACAAGTAGAGTTACAACCTTCTTTATTCTTTAACATAAATCTTTTTTTTTCCCTTTTTTTTTAATGACGTTTCCAAAAACAGTGATGATTTCCGAGACTTTGCAAGAGTGTGCTTCCAAGAATTCGGTGATAAGGTTGATATGTGGATAACGTTCAACGAGCCATATATATATAGTGTTGCGGGTTATGACAAGGGTAATAAAGCAATGGGTCGTTGCTCAAAATGGGTTAACAGCCTATGTGTGGCTGGTGATTCAAGCACCGAACCTTATTTAGTCTCTCATTATCTTCTTTTAGCTCATGCTGCAGCTGTTGAAGAGTTCAGAAACTGTAACAAGGTATATTATCTCAATATATTAAAGGGTTGGAATATACAAATGTACATATATATTAACCATAAATTTCTTTTTCTGATAATAATCAATTTGCTTTGTAACAGATCTCACAAGATGGTAAGATAGGCATAGTACTATCACCTTTTTGGGTTGAACCTTATGACGTTGAATCCCTTGCTGATAAAGAAGCAGTTGAACGAGCTCTTGATTACTATCTTGGCTGGTAAGTTTTCTCATTTACAAGTTCTTAAACAAAGATTCTCGTAAGTTAGTTTAAGAAATTAATCCGCTAATATTTGTTTCTTTTGTGATTTATGTAGGCATCTTGATCCTCTAATCTTTGGAGACTATCCAAAAACACTTCGAAAAAACGCTGGAAATAGATTGCCTTCTTTCACCCAAAAACAATCTGAAATTATTAAAAACTCGTTTGATTTTATTGGAGTAAATTACTACAGTGCTCGATATGTCACATGGCAACTTCACAATGATCCTTCACGGCTTCGTTTCACCACCGATCAACACGTCGAGTACAAATGTAAGGACCATAAACATTCAAAATAAGTGAAAGAAATTTTGGTAGCATAGTTTTCTAATTGGGAAATATCAATATACTAATTACCCTATTTTATAACTGAAACTAATAATGATTTTTTAACTTTGTTATTAGTTACAAATCGTAGTGGGGATTACATATCTTCAGAATCGGTATGAATTGAACTGTTAAAATATTTTGGCATATGTGTGCAATTTTCACAATGAACTTAATTGATAATTTATTCTTTGCTTCTCCGATTTCAGGATGAACTAAAATTGGTCTATGTATACCCCGAAGGCATTCGAAAACTTCTAAATTATATTAAAAATAAATACAACAATCCAATCATCTACATAACTGAAAACGGTAAGAACATTTCAAGAATATAATCTCAGTTAATTTACAACTTATGGCCTAATTATAATTATCCCTTTATTTATTAATCCAGCTTAATAATCAAATTGATGAATTACAGGATATGATGACTACGATGTTGGGACAAAGCCACGTGAACAACTGTTGAAGGACACGAAGAGGATCGAGTACCATGAGAAACATCTTCAAGAACTCCGTAAAGCCATCACGTAAGAAAACTTCAATATATGAAAAAGTTGAATAAGTAATGACTAATAATCGTTTGTTGTAAGTTGCTAAAAGGTGTAATATATTAACCCAAAATGCAGTGTGGATGGGTGTGACGTTAGAGGCTATTCCACATGGTCATTGTTGGATAATTTCGAATGGGAACGCGGATACACGATGAGGTTTGGTCTATACTACGTTGATTATGCAGATGATCTAAAAAGATTTGCTAAAGATTCAGCCCAGTGGTTCAAAAACTTCCTCGAGAGAAGGGATCAACCGTCACCTATGAAACTGTTCAATAGTATACAAAAATGGTGGTCTGTGCTGTATAACTATTCTTTGGAGGAATGATGAATCCGAATCTTGAGAATAGAATAACTGAGTCCCTGTTCTATGGGAAATGATAGAAAGAGATACATGTTTGCACGTACGCAATCTGTTTTTACGAGGTTCATTTGTAATTTTTTTTTTTGGATCAGTACCCCTAGAACAGCAAATAGTAGAACTTCTATAAATTAATACTCGATAAATTAATATACACTAAATATCTCTATAAATTAATATAATTTATAGTCTCAAATTAAGTTTTTGGTTCAATTAGTATATCTATAAATTAATATCTCTCTAAATTAATAAAAAATAAAATTTTGGTGTAATTCCAACATTATTAATTTATAGAGGTTTCACTGTAATGAATATTTGTATTAAGTATACTGTTATAATAAAAACAGACCTTAATATTTTAAAGATTCCACAAGCTTTTTTCTTCCAATTTGATAGTTTGATCTAGTCAACTATATGGTTATATTACCTATAAGAGTAGTTGTCAATTTTCTACATAACATATTTAAGTTATTTAAATAAAGAGTTTAGGAGAGAAAATAAATAAGACAAACAAGATTCATATATATTTCATTTTTTCTGTAAATCTCACAGTTTATTGTATAAAAATTAATGAACAGTAGTAACTAAAACAGACAAAAGAATTGGGTAAGAAAAAAAAACTCAAAGAGGAACAAAGAAAACATACAAATTAATGATAAGAGTGAATTAGTCCAAAATCCTAAAAGAAGTTACTAATTAGGAAAATACCAAACTATAAATTATGCGGGCTTCGTATTGCAAGTAGGATAGATAAAAAGACCAAATAGTCCTTCTCTTCCTTACCATTAGGATAGGTGTATTATAAGTTGGAGGCTAAAATGATTTAAAAGTTAATGAGGGGGGATATGACAATGATTAACTTGAGATAAATCCCCTTCTTTACATGTGGCTGGGTACTAAATAATTGGGGAATCATCGGCTTAGAAAATCTGACACAAGCGGCTGCATGGAAAGAATAATCGCAGCAAAGATATCTTCGAAAGCACGCAAAAAAGTTGTATGGGGAAATAGATGAAAAATTCATGTCAGGATTTGTCTATAAAAGGAAGCCAAATAGCAAGCTCTCTCTCTCATGTACTACCCAGAAAACTCGAAAGTTATAAATTCGACAGTAATAAATGGCGAGTTAAAACATATTCTCTCTTTGTATTAACTTTGTTAGATTCTTGTTTGAGTCCGTACATGCTCGTATTTATTTTGTCGTAGAAGTTAATGATGATGGGCACCTGAAATTTATTATGAACATGAAATCTCATGGGTGGTAGTTTAATGTAATAATGAATGTATAAAAGAATAATTAGCCAGCTTATACAGTGTTCTTTCAAATAACTGCCTAGTTAACAAAACCAGTACCACTCCTCCATCTGTGTTTTTGTTGCAGAGTTTTGTGGTTACAGAACCTTATTTCATAATAATTTGTCAATGCAGCCAATCACCAAAATATTAGTTTCCTCCATTGAAACCTAATTGTCTTTGTGTCCAATTATTTAAGTTAATATGTCTTTGAATTGTTGTAGCCGGCTAAGAATAGTATTGGATGAGTATATTTAAAGTTGGCCATTGAGTGTCATTGTTAAAAAAGGAAGTTCAGAAGGGAGAATGAGAATTTGTTTTTATACATAGAGAAATCAGTACCAAAGATTTACGCAAATAACCGACCCATGAGAGGGTGGTCCCCTACAACAACTCAAAACGAAAAACAGAAAGTACACAAAGATTAAGTCACTCAAATCATAGGACCCCAAGGTTATCTTCATATATCATGACTGCCATTCTTTCCAGCTCAACGTCAAGCACATCCGGAGTAATTCATTTGCAGACATCAACACCCCCCTACAGCGTGAGCTTAAATTAGAAGCATAGTGGTGATACCAGAATCAAACTGGCTGAGGTTCTGTGGAACAGTATAGGGTCTCTCAATGCTGAGTGTCTTCATACCTAGCAAACAAAACCTGCATCCTAAATAGGTTAACATGAGGACATGTAATAGAAATAGACAAATGTACTGCTGCAGTGATCGACTATTCATACCTTGACAGGTACATGTGAAGACCTTTCGACAATTGCAATCAAACTCTCTGCTATCAAGAGATAGGTCACCAACATTTATAACATTGTAAATTGTAACAGAAAAACGATAATAATTAAGTTAGAAAGCTAAACATATATGTGATCAAAATTTTTATAAAGTAGCAGGGTAATCAGAGAGACTTACAATAAGTGTTCGGGTAAAATGTCCTGGTCTAGAATTTATTTCGCTGGACCTTGACAAGAATACAAAATTAGCAAACAATGAGGGAGAAGCAGAACAAAAAAAAAGGGACACAAACGTCATTGGCGATCCAAACAAAACATAGCGTCTACAATCTTTATAAATAAAAGCTAAGTACATTCGTAGCAATGTAGTGTGTGGAGTGCATTGTTGCTAATATTAGTACTTCAAAATCCAAATAAAAATTTGGAAAATTCTAGAAAAAAATGAGGATCTCTTATCATGTCTTCTCCATCTGTATTGCCGGTCCCGTCACCCTGATGATCGTAAGCAACTGGAACCTGAAGCATTTACATGAATAAAAATCTTAAAATATGAAAACGAGGAAATGTGTTGCAATTTGTAGAGTATAAACAAAACATAATGAGAGCAATATTTATAAATAGAAGCTATGCAAATTCATGGCAAGGTAGTGAGAAAATGTATGTTGCTAACATGAGCGAATCAAAATCCAAAGAAAAAGGGACACAAACGTCTTTGGTGGTCCAAACAAGAAAGGGTGTCTGCAATCTTTATGAATAAAAGCTAAGTACATTCATAGCAACGTAGTGGGGAATGCATTATTGCTAATATTAGTTCATAAGAGCAAGTGATCGCATTTGATTCAGTCCACCATTGCACATACAATTAGAATACCATTGCTGGTATAATTCCCTGGAAAAGAAAAGGAAAGAATCATTTTTTTTAAACAAACACTCAAGTACCAACAAAGATGAAAACAAATATAACTCTAATTAACTGACTCGGAGGAGGAAGAGGCGGCGATAGAACTAGTTTCATGGGAGATGAGAATCTGAAAATGTGATTGGTTAAATCAGTTAAAATCCGGGCAAGCCAAAGCTCATCGGCGGCGAAAAGCTGAACCAAACAAGTCTAACATGGTGGAGCAAACTGTTAGGAACCAGACTTGTAAGCGAGGCTTTGGAGTCTGAAGCTTATCGCTCCGCGCCTGAGTATTCTATGATCTAACTTCCATCTACCTCTCCGGAAGATTGTCTTCGCCGCGGCTCCATGAGATAGAATTCTCAGAAACCTAAAACTTTCCCGATCTTGAGAAGGTCCCAAAGGAAATGCAGAAATGGAATTGAATTAGATGACAAAGACGAAATCATATGCTCACGAGACAGAGCTTCTTCTCAGTTCCTTGTCAATGGTTTTATTGGTAACAGTGAAAAAATAAATAAATAACTGCTTCTATTTATTGTTTTCCCGATGTAATGAAGAAACTACATAAATAGACAAGAGTGCAAACATTAGGTTATATAGGGGTATATTGGTCACAGAAATGTCGACAAAACCTAAGTAAATGAGAAATGTTATTTACCTAATTATGAGATTTTTTTTTTTGTGTAGAGTGCAAATACTCTAATAATAAACACAAGAAAATAATAATAAGAATAATAATAATGATAATCTATATATAATAGCAAATCCAAAATGACGTAATTTTTTTATAGGAAAATAATAAAATCTATTATATTAAAACAAAAGTCATAACTCAGTTTATGTGTGTTTTTTTTAAGTTGGAACATCTTTAGAAAATTTATTAGATTTCCATATCTTTAATTTTTATTTGAAATAAGAAAAAAAATTATAAAAATTCAAACAATATCTTTTTAAGATCTTTTCAAATATATTTTCGAATTAGTTAATAAAAATTTAATTATCTGAAAATATAATTAAAAAATATTCATTTTTTATTTATAACACAAATTAAAATTATATAAAACAATTTTAACATTATTCTAAAAATTTCCTTCTTTATAATGTTGGTACAACTTAATCTTACTTTCACATATATTTAAAATTTAGAAATAAAATTATTATTACTATTACATAATAATGTTTTTAAAAAATAAAAATTTATAAAATTTAAAATAGTAATATTATAAGTTACAAAAGCATTATTATAAATTTAGATAATATATAAAATCAAATTATATTTATATATTAACATTTTTATTGTATAACATAAAATATTTTAGTATTCAAAAAATTCGCACAGTTGTGCGGATCAAAATCTAGTTTAAATTTAATGATTGAGTTTATCAATATATTGTAATCTAACGAACAAGATCATCCCTCATTTATAAGATTCTACGTCATCAATCTATTTTAATAAAATTCACAACGGTTCTACATCAGCCTCTTTGCGAAGGACATCTCATGTGTTTTCTTTCGTATTCAACCAACGCCCCTCAGCAATTACATCTTTTTGGAGGTGACTCTTTAATCAATCTATATACATAAGTTTCAGATTTCTTATCTTTATATATTCCATCATCGAACTTACGTTCCATCAGTTCCGATTCAAAACGAGTCCTCTTTTTATCAACTGTCTCTGGTGGTGACAAAAACTCTTATGCGTCTCCTATGGTCATCAGTTTTGTTATGCTTATGCATCATAAGTGAGTGTTCTTTTCTGGCACAGTGCTTTCGTGTTGGCTTTTTTCGTCGTCTTTGGTGTGCGGTTTTCTTTCTCTTCGGGATTTATCCTGCGAGTCTCATGGTCTTGGTTTCTCTAAATGGTATCTCAAATAACTATGGCCAAGTGATCTTAAGGCTATGTTTGGCTTTTCAGATTTACAATTTCTGTATTTTTTTTTTAATTATGTGCAAGGGAGAGATGTTTTAGTCATACACACTTGGAAGTGCTGGTTTCATATCTGATGCAGTCCAAGACTCGAATTTTGTCTCCAACCGGTATACTTGATGAATGGCAGTGTCTTGGATATATGCTTCTCCGTGAAAATCATTTTTTTCTGTACCATGGATGTGGAGTACGTGTCTGATAATGACACAATCTTCTGTCACTACAAAAATGGCTCACTGAAGGGTTCATGGTGGCTATGTGTCACAAGGTATGTCATTAATTTGGAATTGCATGATGATAAGAACATAAGATGGAAAGACGTGACAAAAGAAGCATTTTCTTTACGACCAATTCACTCCAAATATCATTTTGGTTAGGTAAATTTCCAAAGAAAACAAAGTTTCTTTTCCATTTAGTTTTATATCACTAAAAGAATGCCGTCAGCAGATCTTAAATTTCAGTTTGCTACTAGATGATGCAAAAGAAACTCCTACTTTCATTTCTGTTGTTGTAAGTCATGGTTGTTTCGTGTTGCAAACTTGCAATAAATTTTAATTGTTCGTTAACTCATGGTTGTTTGGTGTTGCAATCAGACAAAGTGGCTATCTTGTCATATTATAGTTTCTCTAGAACAGTAGTTATTGATGGTTTTGATCTAATAGTTCTATTTAAAACTTTTTGATATCGACTGACTCTTCTTTTTTAATGTAATGGATGTAATTTCGAGTGGTTGATGTCTGTTCCGTTTCTCATGCATATTTTTTCTGGGTGTTTTCAAAAAACTTGACACATCATTGGGAAGTGGCAAATGAAAGATATCTTAGATTTGCGTAAACAATGACTATACTATGCCCCGACATAGCCTTAACAAAATTCTAAAAAGCAGAACTCATATGTAGGAGAGCACGTTTAAGTGAGGAATTCTAGACTCATAAAACGTGGAGAGACTTAGGTGATAGGCTTCTATTAAAATTTAAAGTTACAAAAACAGTAGAAAAGATAGTTTTTTTTTTGGGGTAAAATGTTAAATATTATACCATTTTCAATTTTTTTACAGAAGTTACATAGATCACTAGTAGCAGACAAATTGAAAACAAACTAAAAACAACAATGATATACAAGAAAAAAAAACACAACCCTTGATGAATCCTAAAAAACCAACGAAGGAGTCAGACAAAGACTTACACGAGCGGTAGCGGAGACTCATCCAGACACAGAGGTGAAGACAATGGGGACTAGCATTAAAGGAAAATCAGGGAGACGAGTCAGTCTTTTGGCCTCCCCAAACTCGCCTCCAAAAGTAGCTACTACGACCCAAGCTCCTGCATCTACATCAGCCGGACCACAGACGCTTCCGGACACAGAGGTGAACACAATGGGGACTAGCATCAATGAAACCATGAGATACGAGCCTAAGGCAAGCCCAAACTCGTCTCCAAAAAATTAGCTACTACAACCCATAGATCCAGAAACTACATCAGACGAGAGCATACGCTATGAGAATCAACACTTAACAACGCTGCTTTGTCCAGGGGGGACCACCAGAGCCAAGAAATCAGAGACGCTCTTACTTAAAATGGAGGAAGAACCTAACCCGCCACAATACTGAACCTGCACGAAAATGGAAAGGCTACAACCACAGAGGAAAGGATCCAAAGACCCACAAACCTCCAGCAACAGTTAAGCCTAAACACACTGCCACCGTGAGGAGAAAATTTTGCTGACAACACCAAGGAACTCCAACTCGCATGTGCTATTGTCTTTGAGAACCAGAGACAATCTCCACCACCTGCAAAGAAATCGAAACCCACAACACCTCCACCACGCCACTACTGGAGGCGCTGAAAGCAAGACTTGAGCACCTACCTCTGATTAGACAAAAACACAGTCACCTAGCCACATGACTCCGCCACCGCAACCAGAGAAGGGACTCGCCAGCAAAAGAAACGTCACCACCTCCGAGGAAACCCGCCGAAGCCACCAAAATTTCAGCCAAACCCTTACCGCAAGGACGAGTCATGGGTTAGATCTGAAAGACTCGACAACTGAACGACCAACCTCCCAAGCCGAGAAACAGAGAGATAACTTCATCAACAACAGGGCAAGCACCAGACGAAGGAATCAGCGGAGACCCTTACCGACAGACCGACAAGACCCGACACTGTACGAGGCTCTGATCTGGCTGGATCCATACCGTGTGACAGAAATCTCTCTTGGAGAACCCTTTCTTCAAGCAAACAGCTGCTTTCCTCACTACCACTCCAAAGGATCTGACAATCCGAGCAGCGATGTCGGGACCGATCAACCAGAGAGGAAAGTATATCGGGGAGAGCTGAAGGAGAAGTAAAGATGGAAGACACCAAGAAACAAGGAAGGAAAAAAAGAGGGTTGAGAGGGAGAGCCTAAGAGACCGACAGAAAGCCGGAGATCAGATTGTAGGAGCCGAAAAATCGAATTGACATAAGCGATATAATTGAAAACGATGTTAAGGAAATAAAAGATTGGAAAGATGATATGAAACCGATTACGAAAACTTTTTATAAAAACCAGCATGGAGTCGAGACGAATCTCTTCCTTAACTCTTAATATTCGCTCCGCAGTGAGACAGACTTGTACAAATTAGAGTCCCATGATAAAACCATGATAGACGATTCACGCTCTCACTCGTGAACGTCTCTGACGAACTAATATTTCTACTAAACACTCTCTAAACTTACTCTGAGAGATTTTCTGGTTTTTCTTGCGGAAAAAAAAAAGTTAAGAATGAAGAGGGAGAAGAGGCAATATTTAAAGAGACGGAGAAGACCCACTTCCTGAAACAACAGCTTCACGTGGGCGAAAATCTCACTGAGATCTTGGGAGTGGAAGCTGAGAAACTTTCTCCGCAAGATCTTCTCTTTTATTTGACTCATTCAAATTGTTTGACAAACAGATAGACTTTGTGTTGTTTTTACACAAACTGCGTGTTGTTTATTAACGTCATGCTGTTTTTTAATTTAAAAATGGCAAAGCGTTGGGCTTAATTTGGTCAATAAAGATAACTTCTTATCGGGCCAAAGGCCCTCCCACCCAAGCCCAAGCCCAAGCCCACGCTGAGCCGGGCCGGATGGCGGCAGAGGCGGCGCGCGCGCGGGGAGCCATCTCTCACCCTGAGTCGTTTACACCCTCCTAACACTTGAGCATATATATACTGCTCAATTATGCCTTCGCTGGCCGATGTGGGACAAACTCAAAAACTAGGTTTTTCAGTTTTTGTCCACACCAAGATACCAACTTCGAAGCTTCATTTCTTATTCAATTTTGATCTGTTTTTAAAGTGTGAATATACCACGTTGTAGTACTCGTTACAAGCTTTACAACGAGATGATGATCTGACCGGAACAACCACCGGTTTGGCCGGAAAAGTCACCGGAAAATAAGAAACGATCAGCTTTTAATACAGAGTTCCAACAATCCCCCACATTAATAGTAATGACTCTAAAAATATGCAGACTATATGCAGACTCGATAGACTCTAAATAAAAATTATAAATATTCTAATCTTGACTAGACTAGACAGACTTATTGAGAGTGTTTGCGAAAAATTCACTATGTTTGAGTTGGTGGCATTTTTAAGCCTTGAACCACTCATAGTTAATATATGTCTGGTTTACTTTACCAGAAGGTGAACATGATGTCTTGAACCAACCGGTGTTTTATGTAGACCGAGACAACATGCATAACGCAGCTTCATCTTCTCGTAAAACTTAGTTCTCTATTGTGTTCATTGTGGCACTGAACTATTCCTGGTTTTCATGAGTGAACTTAGAGAATATATATAGCCTTGCATTCATTCTCCTTGAAACGGCCTCATTTCACACTCACTAGGTGATTGACCATGAAAAGTATTGAGTAATACTTTGATTTAGAAGCTATGGAATCATGAAAAGCTAATGCTTATCCTTACATTTCATAGCACTTTTATCATCTTAGGAGCTGGAAAAAAAGTACTTTGTCTCAAGTGCTTTGGTTAGATTCTTTTTGATTTTGTTTTCCCTTTGAACCTACGTCTTGGGATCTCCAGTCATGATAGGTAGGGTTGCAATCAAACATCTTCTTCTGTAATAGGCTTTAAACCCATTCTTTTTGATGATTTAGCAACAATATCTCGTGGAAAACCTTTAGTAAATGGATCCGCTAGGTTGTCAGCTGATTTGATGTAGTCTATTGTGATTACACCAATTGAGATAAGTTGTCTAATGGTTTTATTTCGTCTTCTGGTGTGACGAGATTTACCATTGTAGAGATTATTCTGAGCCCGAGCTATAGCAGATTGACTATCATAATGTATGCGTATAGCTGGCCCAGGTTTCTCCCACATAGGGATATCTTCCAAAAAACTTTCTAAGCCATTCAGCTTCTTCTGCAGCTTTGTCTAAGGCTATGAACTCAGATTCCATGGTGGATCTGGCTAGAACAGTTTGTTTGGTAGATTTCCATGATATGCTGCTCCTCCTAATGTAAAGACATATCCACTTGTGGATTTTGAGTTTTTATAATCTGATATCCAGTTAGCGTCACTGTATCCTTATAAAAATGCTGGTTCTTTACCATAGTGAAGCCCAAAATCTTTGGTGTAGCGCAGGTAATTGAGTACTCGCGTTATAGATTTCCAATGTGTATGACCTGGAGTACTTGTATATCAACTGAGTACGTTTACTACATGCGATAGATCTGGTCTGGTGCAATTGGTCAAGTACATGAGACTTCCATTCACATGTGCATACTCGTTTTGTGAAATCGCTTCCTCTGAGTTCTTCGTCATGTGCATTTAGGGATCTAACAGAGTTTTTTTCCATGCTATTAGAGTAATTTTTAAATCTCTTCAATATTGTTTCAGCATAATGAGCTTAGGTTAATGTAATTCCTTTTGAATTTCTTGTGACTTTAACTCCGAGAATTACATATGCTACTCCCAAGTATTTCATCTCAAATTTTCCTTTAAGAATATTCTTTGTTTGATTGATCATGTCTTTATTGCTTCCAATAATGAACATATCATCTACATATAGACATAGCAAAACATACACATTTTTCGTAGTTTTGTAGTATATGCATTTGTCACATTCATTAATTTTGAAACCATTTGACATCATTGTACTGTCAAATTTTTCGTGCCATTGTTTTAGAGCTTGTTTAAGCTCATAAAGTGACTTTACTAGTTGGCATACTTTGTCTTCCTTTCCAGGAATGACAAAACCTTCAAGTTGTTTCATGTAAATTTCATCTTCTAAATCACTATTTAGAAAAGCGGTTTTTACATCCATTTGATGGATTTCTAGGTCTCTTAAGGCTGCAATTGCTATGATCAGTCTTATTGATGTTATTCTCGTTACTGGAGAATATGTATCAAAATAGTCGTGGCCTTCTTTTTGTCGGAATCCTTGAACTACAAGCCTAGCTTTGTATTTTCCACCAGGTTTTTGCGTCATTATCCATTTATTTCCTAATGCTTTTCAGTTAGGTGATAAATCTGTTATGTACCATGTATAATTTTGCATGATATAATCAAATTCACTTCTGACAACTTCGTTCCAAAACGGAGCTTCTGGTGAAGCTATGGCCTCTGCCAAAGTTTTTGGAACATTTTCTACTAGAAATGCCATTAAGAAATCTTCTCCAAAAGATTTTTCCTTTCGAGGTCTTTTTTTTTTTTGAATTGAATGTTAAATTTAATTCAAAGAAAAAACCCTTGTTACAACTAAGTGTGTCTTTTTTATGAAATTCTATACAAAATTTGAAAGCAATCAAATAGAACTCTTCATTTGATCCAACCTTCCTCCTACCACAACCTCTTTTCTCCATCTCAATACCTAGCTCTCACTCCTACTAGATATCCAGCACTCACTCCTACTAAAACTTCTTTACCTCCATTCAACAGCCTCCTCACAGTCATACCCAGCTCTCACTCCTACTAGGCACCCAGCTCTCACTCCCACTGGAACTCCAAAGTTCTTGCTCCAAATCAGTACTGCATCCCTTTGCCAATACTCGTATCTCCACTCCTCTGCACCAATGTAAGTTTATTTCTCATATTCTTGTCAAGGAGCTTTTCTAATCGAGACGCTGGAACTTCAGCTTCCCCATGCCTTCTTCTGTTTCTCTCACGCCAAATCATGTACACAGTAGCCTGGAACATGTACTTGATGAGAAAAACCTGCATTCTACTTCTTGACTGATCACACATAATTGTCAACAACTCTTCCCAACAACATGTGTATCTTTCTTTTAATATCCCTTTCATCAGCTCCCATATTTGAGCAGAGTATTCGCAATTGAAAAACAGGTGTTCAAGAGTTTCTAACGGCTCGTTGCAAAGAACACAAGAAACCACAGTAACCCCATTCCAATTTCTCATCCTATCTCCCGTTGCAAGTTTACCCTTCATTGCTGTCCAAAGTATGAACGAATATTTCGGGGTTGGATATTTGAACCAGACAATATCATGCCAGAAACAATGCTGATACTTTGTTCTAGTAAACTCCCAAGTTTCACTAGTTGAAAACTTCCCCTTATAAAGACCTCTGCCATTTATCCACAGAGAAGAATCATTCTCTTGCACTCTATTACTTCTACCTTTCTCAATTTCATCCTCTACTTTATTAAGAATATCAATACGGTGCACTCTTCTTCTATGTTTCCAGCTCTCCTCCACCGTTGCAGATATAGAAATCCTCATATCAAT